CGACCTCCACTGTGTGCTTACCGGGGGCCGAAGGGACTAGTGACTCTCGAGAACCACCACAGGCCACGCTGCCTTGTCGCAGTGGCCGGATGCAGAGAGCCATAACCGAGAGGGCCTCGTTGCCCATGCCTACACGCCAGGCAAAAGGGGGAGGGAAGAAAAAATAACCATACCGTAGGATTTTTAGCTTTTTTCTTTCTCTTTCTTTCTTTTCTTCTTTTTTTTTTTTTCCTTTTTTTTTTCTTTTTTAAAGTGTCTGTCCTTTTACTTCCTAGCCATGAGGCCATCGGTGGCAGATTTCAACCATTTCCACATAGGCTAACGTTGTATTCTGGCTGACTAGATTAGTCTAACATTTTGTAGTTGATATTTGCACTGTTAACAATGTGTGCTGCTGGTATTTGAAGAACATTTGCCTCTGTTCTTTCACTTTAACTTCATAAGAGCATTTTTTTACTCTGTGCCAGGCCTTCATTGCTTTTCTTACAAATACAAGTCATTTCTTGAGGCAGCTGTTTTTTGAGTTTTCTTTCTCCATTATCCCATCCCCTCTGAGCAAGCATTCTGGACTCGGTGGTAAGTATACAGGTCTTGGCAATACTCGCCTCCAAAACTGTGTTCGATCAGTCTTTGCCTGGTGTTTCTGGCATGCCAGCCTGAGGTGTTGGGGTTAGCCTGTACTGGACCATGATCATTCTTATCCTCTGTGGGTCTGACCAGCTCACTTTCGAAGACCCTCGGTGGAGCTAATCCACATGTCTTGGCTATGTCGTATAATCAGTAATGTTGCCAGGATCATATCTCATATATAACTTTGGGAGCCTATAGTAATTTGCCACCAGATCTATCTAGGCACCTGACTCTCATTTTCACAGTTCCTTTTATGATGGATCTGGTGGTTTGATGGGCAGCATTATAACTTTTCCTCTGAGAGAGTCTCGGGATTGGAAACAGGAGTCACTAAGCAACGTATTTTATGGGGACAAGAACCAACTCCTGCAACAAATCTGTTAGGAGACTGTCCCCTGTAATTATGAGATATTAAGTACTTATGCAAAAAGAAAAAAAAAAAAAAAAAAAAAAGGAAAAAACCAACAACTTACCTAGCAGCTAGAGCTCTGAAGAATGTAAAAGTCATGACATGCTGTTGGGTACTGTGCTACTATGTCTGTGATTAAAAGCTTTCCATCAGAGATGACCTACCTGTTGATAAAATGCAACTACTTTCTGTGCCTTTAGGCCATCTCATTTCCTGAGGGCTGGCACCCTGAGCACAACTTGGGTGCCACTGAGAACCCACAGGACAGATGGAAGTGCACTTTGCAATAAATTATTTTATATCTGTTGGTGCTGCCTCTCTCGGGGGAATTTAATATAGTGGCACTCAAATTGCTATATGCATGCAGAGGCATCAGACTGGCTTATCCATGTGGTATCCCTGACAGTTCTCTGAAAGGATGCTGTTACCAGGAGCCCCTCAAGCGGTGGTAACTTTATCACAGGTGTAGCATGGCTCCTGTGTTTGACTCTTGACATCCCTTTGTAACTTTTCATAAAGGTGCAAAAGAGTTTGTACTGCAAAACAGTAGTGAATTCCTCCTCTGGCGAATCTTAGCAAATACCTGTAGGCCTAAAAATCCTCTTCTCTGATTGCAGCTGAGCTGCGCTCTGTCGCGCGCGCTCTCTCCAGTGAGCCGTAGCCTTTTCTTCCCTGTCTTTCTCTGAGCCTGGAGTTGATCAAAGTGACGCTGTTCTACCAGTCAGCCACAAATTGCTCCCTTACGAGTGTGTGTGCGCGTGTGCTTGGGGCCGGGCTTTGCTCCGTGACCACCTTAAGGTGAAATGCAGCTGATGTGGCCAACCTCCAGTGCAGGCTCTGTGCAGCACGGGGAATTTCTTCTCTGCCACCTGCATCCAGCTGCATCCTCCTTAAGAGTCTCCTTGGAGGTATCCTTGTATCCTTGATGCTTTGGCCACCATCAACACACCTCACAGTGGGTGCAAAGGGGCTGCACCTTTCTGTGGCTTTTCCCTCTCTCTTTTGTTAATACTGTTTGTAGAGGTTTCCTCAGAAAATTTCCAATACAAGCTTGCGAGATTCCCCTCTCGCTGGTGCAAGAAGCGCATGCTGCAAAATAACTAAGATCACAACAAGTTGGGGGAGAAGTCCATTAGTAAGGCTGACAGATTATTCCAGCATTTGTTGCCTTTGGACATGTGTTTCTGGTGCATACGTGGTTTGCACGCTGGTACTGTGGATATGAACAGCCTAGTTAAAGGTAAAGGCAAGTGGAAGTTTGTCCCAATATGCTTACGTCTTATTTCTTTGGGATGAGTTTGAATGAAGCCAAACACAAGTCAGCCAGTTAATTTTCTTGGCCTAATTAGCACATGTATGATAATACGATGAGAATGTTTTTATTTTCTTTAGTGCTTTCTCTTCAAAAGCGTGGTGCAGTTGTGGCCAGATTTCGATGTATTCTGCAGGACCCGCCATGTAGCTGCTGCCATTTAGGATAAATCTCGCTCCACAGACTGACTGCTCTTGTAGCTTCTCATTTTTTGCTGCAGTTTCAAGAAGCCACCCTCCAGCCTTCCTTTGCATCCTGATCAAAGGCAGCAGAGCTCGAGAACGAGCTGTGCAGATGCAGCAGTGCTGCCATTGGAAGTGACACGCAAGGAGCCCCCAAAACATTGCTTGCGAAGCACCCTGAGCTTTTAAGCTCATCTCCTCTCCCATTTTGATAGTGCTTTACCTAGATTTGGAAAGGCACAGAGCACCTCTTGAATGGGAGCAGCTATAGGGTAAGAAGGACTGAGACCCTGACCACAGACCAGAAACCTGCAATAAACTCGCGCTGAATAAACGCTTTCCCAACTGGAGATAGCAGATGATATTAAGAGTTGGTACCAACTGATATTTTGGTCAGATCCCAGACTTGGATCTGACTTCTAGTGTTGTTGAGCAAAATCAGTGCAGTTGGAGGGTATGTGTGTTTCATCCCCCCAAACAAATATTTTCATGCTTTTCAAGTGTCTGTCATAGCCTCATCACTCTTTCCCTGTAGCTTTTTGTTGTCTGAATGGGTGTACGGTTACATGTGTCTGTTAAAAATAAAGGGGATCAGTTCTTAAATGGTATATTTATATTTCTTATTTACAGATTTTGAATACGTAGCACTTAAGTTTCCCAAGCTTCCTTTTCTCTGTATCCCAGAGACCAGTTGTTTGGTCTTCTGGGATGACAAAAAGGGTTGGAGAGACTTAATGTGAAATCTCTGCACCCTTGAAGCTCTTGGTGATTGATCCCCAAAATATGATTCTAAAAGTCTAGCCATATTTTTGCTGTATATTTAAAATGTTTATGCTTATACCATTGCTTTCTGATGCCTTTTGCTGAGCAGAAGTGCAGATATTTTTCTTTCAGAAGTTCAAAGTTTGTATTACAAAGTCTTATGAAATGTGATTTGAAGTGTGTTTTATTTTTGAATACATGTGATGGTTTTAAGACTATTTTTTTTTCTTTTTCTCCTTCCACTGGATGATTTAAAACACACAAAAAATAAAGTAGACCAATGAAAACACTGAATGCTAACTTCCATTGAAAAGAAACAGCAATACTGCTCTTGTGAGGCTGCTTTGGACAGTGTTCAGCTTACGGATTCTGCTCCCTTTCCCTCTCCTGACCTCTGTGACACTTAAATATCTGCAGCCAGGACAACCTGCTTCCTAACCACAAGCCTAAGAGTTCTTCCCTCTCCACCTGCTCCCATTTTAAATAAATAAATAAATAAATCGCTCTTCCTCAGCCAGATCTCCTGCTTAGAGAGATCAAAAGCTTTTCTTCCTCCTGCCTTATTCCCATCCATACCATATCCAGGGCCCCGAGTGTGCTGCTTTCCTGTTGAGAGGTAAAGCCGAAATCCCCAAATCCCATACTTTGCATAGTAACATATCTTTAGACACCACTGGAGACCTGTTTTCTTAAGTCTGTAGTAACCTAATGAAGTAGTTCCAGTTTTCTGCTGAAGCAGACAAACATTTGGGAGAGAGGTAATTGCTGAGCAGTAGCGGTGGCTCCGAGCCGGGTTGCGGGAGGAAGGAGCCAGGCGCAGGAGTCACTCCGAGCGGTGCGTACTCTCGGAGGGACCTAGAGGCTGTTCAAAGAGTCCTTACTTTGATGAAACTTCAAGAGAAAAAGGCACTAAATTAACATGATTGCCACCCGCAGAATCGTTGATACGGCGCCAGTCTTCAGTCTGTGCTTGCTTGGGAAAGCACACACGGTGAAAGGGGTAGTAGGGAAACCTGTGGGGTGCAATGCAAGTCGGATTCCAGTGCAGGTTCAGAAACGGAATTACTCTCTTGGCTTAGGCTGCTCATTTAACTTCTCCGTGCCTTAGTTTCTTGCTAATAGGAGAGTGGCGATAAAGAAGCTGTCAGGCTATAATGACTTGTTTGCTGAGGTCGCTTTGGGGCCCTCTGTCTGAGTAATGTGCTGTATTAAATACTGATTAATCTTGTTTGCGATCAAATTTGGTGATGGGGCTAAAACAAACACTCTAAACCTTGGAAGATCTTGACTAAATTTCTCCCTGTATTTTATCATCATGTTATATGCTAGACCTGAATCCCAAATCCAAGTGTTGACATTCTCGTTCGCATTTGGACTTTGCCTGTTCAGTCTGTTTATGACCACAATTAAATAAATTTAGGTGTATCCCAGATTGTGCCCTTCCTAAATTAAAAGGTACTGATAAAAGTTTCAGTTAATAAGTGATGCAATTACCAGTAGCGCTAATTTAACAATCTGAGAACATGAAGAGATTAAAAAGTAGTTTCTTGAGAAGAATAGGCATAAAAGAGCACTTCTGGAGTACTTGTTATTGTCCAAAATATCACTGAAATTCTGATGACTAAGTACAGTCTGCTTATCTCTATTTGAAACAGTGCTGTACGGATTCATTATTTCTAAAGGTCTTCTTTCCATTTCTATATAGATATTCTCCCTTCACATTTTGAAGGTTTGAAGAAGAGGATTGTTTTTCGAGTCACACTAAGTAAACATTAAATGCATGCAGGCTTAAAACTAAAGCATGCATGTTATGTAGCAGCAATAAAAAGTGCTCGGCTTGCACGACTTTTGATGCTCAAGCGTTGCCTTGTTAAAATGCCAAAAAAACCTTTTTCTTTGCATTTTTTTGAAAAGTAAATCTCTTCCTTTGACCTTGCAATACTTAGATTTTCAGTTTCTGGACAAACGATACTTATTTTACTGAATGCTTTTATATTACAGATAAGGTGGATGAAATAGTACCAGTTTCCAAGCCATCAAGAATTGCAGACAATGCAACCATGGACTCAAGAGTGGCAACTATTAAACAGCGGCCTTCTAGTAGATGTTTTCCCTCAGCTACAGATATGAATGTGAGTGGGAGCTATGAAATGCTACTTCTGCTTTGGAAACTCTGATTTGATTGCACTTTGCCAATATGGTGGGCATACAAGAGAAATTAATTTAAAAACACTTATGCACTTATTCTGCTTTTTTTTCTGTATAAATTAAGGATGTGGTCTATCAGTACTTACAATAATTTTTTTAACAGAAGATTATGCGTACCTGGTGAGACCGTGAAGGTTCCTCTCTGTACCTTTTCTCACTATTTCCTTATATTTATCCTGAGACTGTCACATCTGCCACATTACTGCCTCAGAGTTACTCGGACAGATGTGAGCTTGTTTTGCCTATAGCCCAAGCACCAGTAAGATCTGTGCTTGGAGGTGTCAGTGTCCTTCAACTCTATCCCCAAGTAAAAATACTTTCCTGAAAATCAAGGTACGCTAGTTCAGTTCACGCAGCCACATGGAGTCCCCTAATGTGAAGGCTTCTCCTGCTTCAGGTTTTTTATTATTCCTAATGGCATATCAAATACCTTGATTAAATAATGCATGGTGATTTTTAAGGGAAAGCTGACATTAATACTGCAGCATGTTTTAAAAATGTAAAAGCCCAAACTCTGAAAATTGGATTCCTCAATTGCAGAATTTGCTTCTGCCAAACTTATGGAAAGGTACTTGTTTTTCCTGCAGTCTAGATTTTGCTTTTCTATCGCCCGCTTGTCTCAAAAAGCCCCAGTCCTGCTACAAGCGTGGCATGGAAGGGGGCTTTCAATGTCAACCAAGGCTGTTCTAGATGTGAGAAATTCTTTTGATTGCCTAGAAGGCAGAAGGATGGTCTGGTGCCGGGCGATTCGGGGCACTCTGCTCCATTCCTCGCTGCGGTGCTGCCTTCCTTCGTGTGCTACCTTGCTCCAGACTCCTTGGCTCTGTGCAAAGGAGCACGAGCGCGTCCGTCCCGCAGAGTGAGGAGAGCGGCCGCCTTGGCCAACCTCAGTACGTGCGCTGTGCTGCGTGGAGAGGCGTGCTGGGAAGGGAGTGGAACCAAACGTAACTGCTCACGCTCGCTTGTCCTCACAGCGCACGAAACCTGCTAGAAATTTAACATATTGCCTGGGAGATAACTTCAGCTAACTCCACTCTCATCATTTTATTAATGTATAAATAAAGCCCAGCCTTCCTTTTCTCCTCACCTCCTCCCCAAAAAGATACCAGATTTGTCATTTTCCATAAGAATTCGAACTAAGGAAGAGGGGTAGTAAATATAACAGAAGAGTTACTTGTGTGTGAGAGCGAGACTTGCATGCTCTAATGCTTGTGGGGTTTTTTGTTTGTTTTTTTGTAGTCCATGTATGAGAGACAGGGTATTGCTGTGATGACGCCCACGGTACCAGGGAGTCCTCAAGGTCCTTTTCTGGGTATACCTCGGGGTACAATGAGAAGACAAAAATCTATAGGTAAAATGCTTCTCATGCCTAGTCTGCTTGTGCATTAATTATGTAATCATAGTAACTCTGCTGCTTTCTTAACGCTTGTGTCTCCAACATCTTTACCTCAGTGAGTGATTTCCTCATTTTTCTTTACCGTCCACACACAGACAAAATACGTGTTTAAGATACTGTAATGCCACATTTTGATTTGATGACAAGTATTGGGCAAATATTATGGAATGATAATTTGTTTCTTTAGAAAGTTTCCTTTAATAAGGAAAGCCAGTGAAAAGAGAGAGAATAGATGGGCTCAAGTTGATTATAGGGCATTGCCTAGGGCAAAATGTTGCTCTCTTTTTTTTTTCCCCCTCCCTTATTATTGAGGCAAAAGTGTTGTAATGCTATGTGTTTTGCAAAGAAATCCTTCCCGATGAAAAAGGATTAAAAATCAGCTTTTTGTTCCATTTCAAGTGGAAAAAGATGATTTTACAAAAGATGATTTTACACAGGAGGGAGGGGGAAAAAATACACAATCAAGCTTGGGGCTTGTTTTCCTCTTGGTAGTAATCTTCTTTAGCAGTGATATTTATCAAATTAGGAACACATTATGCTGATGTAAAATTGGTCATCTAAAGTACCCGCTTATTTTTATTTATGTTAAAAGCCATACTTGCAATAACACAATACCAATTTCTTAAATAAAACAGTATCATTTTTTTCCCCAACAGAACTTTCCAAGTCCCTTTGCTAAGCTTCAAGCACATCTTAAAAATGTGTTTTGTTTCTAAGTTGCATTATTTTATGCATTTAGAGAGTGCTAGAGCCAGTCAGGAGCTATTCTTCTGCACGGAATGTCTTCCCTGCTTGATCATTATCAAAGCAAATGCCCTTCTCTACAGCTACCTTGATGATACATAAAACCAAAACATTTGCCTACATGTTAGTGATCAGTTTAATTAAAATTCTGGAGCATTCTTTGAAATTCTGGCAACTGGGTCTCTGGAAGTTCAATGAGAAAAAAAATTGTTTATGATAAGAATCAGCCAAAAGAGCTCTTTCATAATTTCACATATGCTTCATGCCATCTGAAACATATTGTAGCAATTTAGGTTATATACAGAAATAATACAATAGGAGGGAACACAGGGGACGAGGGTATTTTAAATGTGCTTTCTGATTTTTAGGAATAACGGAGGAAGAGCGGCAGTTTTTGGCTCCTCCTATGTTAAAATTTACCAGAAGTCTTTCGATGCCTGACACCTCTGAAGACATCCCGCCACCACCACAGTCCTTACCCCCGTCACCACCACCTCCTTCTCCGTCTCTCTACAACTCTCCCAAGTCCCCCACATCGAGGAGCTATGGAACAATCAAACCTGCCTTTAATCAGAACTCAGCTTCGAAAATCTCTTTGGTTAGGCCTGAAAATGTGGGAACGATGATGCGGGACAAAGGGATCTACTACCGACGAGAGCTGGACCGTTACTCGCTGGATTCGGAGGACTTGTACAGCAGGGCTGCCACATCTCAGGCAAATTTCAGGAGCAAGAGAGGTCAGATGCCAGAAAACCCCTACTCAGAAGTGGGGAAGATCGCCAGCAAGGCGGTTTACGTGCCGGCCAAGCCGGCGCGGCGGAAGGGGATGCTGGTGAAGCAGTCCAACGTGGAGGACAGCCCGGAGAAGACCTGCTCTATTCCAATTCCCACCATCATCGTCAAAGAACCGTCTACCAGCAGCAGCGGGAAGAGCAGCCAAGGGAGCAGCATGGAGATCGACCCTCAGTCTTCGGAGCAGCCGGGGCAGCTCAGACCCGATGACAACTTAGGCGTCAGCAGCCCCTTCGCAGCAGCCATCGCTGGAGCAGTGAGGGACCGTGAGAAGCGGCTGGAAGCGAGGCGCAATTCCCCGGCCTTCCTCTCAACGGACCTAGGAGACGAGGATGTTGGGCTGACTCCCCCGACGCCACGTATGAGGCAGTCCAAGTTCACTGATGAAGGAATGTTTAGCAGCGAAGAGGGTTTCCGACAGCTTATGTCGCCATCTCCGGTCCCCGCACCCAGAGAGCCTGAGAGTCTTTTTAATAGTAGTGAACCCAGCAGTCAAAGTGATCCAAGGACATTAAACGCTTCACCCAAACCCAAAGGCACTGAAAACAGCACGGTGGCAGCTAAGCCCGCAAATGCCTCCAGCTCAGATAACTATGTGCACCCGGTCACGGGAAAGCTCTTAGACCCAAACTCACCGCTAGCCCTCGCTCTCTCTGCCAGGGACCGAGCCATGAAAGAACAAACACAGCAAATTCCAGGCAAGGGAGAAGCTGGCAAAGCAGACCTTAACAAGCCACTTTACATCGACACGAAGCTGCGACCCAACATGGAGACGACGTTCCCTGTTACTGCTGCCGTCACTAGGCAGAACACGCGGGGTCCCTTGAGAAGGCAGGAGACAGAGAACAAGTATGAAGCGGAGGCAGGGAAAGAAAAGAAGGCTGAGGAGAAGAAGAACATGTTGATCAACATAGTGGACACTTCACAGCACAAGTCGGCTGGTTTGTTGATGGTCCATACTGTGGACACGGCGAAGTCGGACGACACACCAGAGGATGAAGAGGAGAAGAGGGTGGAAACGGAGCCCAACGCTGAGAACTCCCCGCCAGAGCGACCGGAAGGCAGTGCGGATGCGGAGGGCGAGCTGAGCGTGCCCTCTGCGCCGCCGGAGCCACCAGCATCCCCCTGCAAAACCATCGTGGCGGCGGGCTCCGTGGACGACCCCGTCATCCTGCCCTTCCGCATCCCGCCCCCGCCCCTGGCGTCCGTCGACATCGATGAGGACTTCATGTTCACCGAGCCACTGCCGCCCCCCTTGGAGTTCGCCAACAGTTTCGATATCCCCGACGACCGCTTGGCTCCCGGATCTGCCCTGACAGACCTGATGAAGCAGAGGAAGAACGGAACGCCCGCGCCCGCGCCATTCGCCCCCAGCCAGGCACCCAACTCCTTGGACAGCAAAAAGCAAGCGGGTCTTTCAAACTGTTTGCCTGCCTCCTTCCTGCCACCCCCCGAAAGCTTTGATACCGTCACTGACTCTGGGATTGAGGAGGTGGACAGTCGGAGCAGTAGTGACCATCACTTAGAGACAACCAGCACTATCTCAACGGTGTCCAGCATCTCTACCTTGTCCTCGGAAGGTGGCGAGAACTTGGATACTTGCACAGTCTATGCAGATGGGCAAACATTTCTGGTGGACAAACCCCCAGTACCTCCTAAGCCAAAAATGAAGCCCATAATCAACAAAAGCAATGCACTTTACAAGGATGCGCTGATTGAGGAAACTGTAGACAGCTTTGTTATTCCTCCCCCCGCTCCACCCCCACCTCCGATCAGTGCCCAGCCCAACATGGCTAAGGTTGTTCCCCAAAGGACATCGAAGCTATGGGGTGATGTGACGGAGGTGAAAAGCCCAATTCTCTCAGGCCCAAAGGCTAATGTCATTAGTGAGTTGAACTCGATACTGCAGCAGATGAACAGAGAGAAATCCTCAAAGCCAGGGGAAGCGTTGGAGTCACCTACTGGAACTAAGACTGCAAGTCTCAGTACAAGGTAACTGCGATTAGCAGCATCATTTACCGATAAAAAAGTTGATTTAGTCCCCTCGTTTCCCCTATAAATATTTCTTAGGTTAAAGAAGAATGTACCTTTTATTGTACATGTTTTGCTTAATGAATAGTCAGTGACAAATAGTTTCACTGAGGGGAAGAATTTCCGAGGTCACCAGCATGTCTGTAGTCTGCAGCACCCTTTTTCCTTTCTTTTCTTTTCTTCCTATTTTTGATGGAATTGAGTCAAGAATGGCTGCCCTTCTGTGGGCAGCAGCTCTCAGTCTTTTCCAGCTTTGAGGACAATTTCCACAAACTATTCACTTGTTTTGATGTGAATTTCTTAGATTTATGTTTAAGTAGGAGATGGTTTTTTCCTCTAGTATATTTTTCCTTCTTGGTTTTTTTTTTTTTTTTTTTTTTTTTTGGCTACAAACAGCTTAAAAAAGAAATAATTTTGTTAAGTCTTGCTTTCCATTCAGTGCATGATATTATTTAGTTGATGGAGCTATCAGATAATCTGGGGTGATTTATGAGTTACAAAGCTACTTATCAGTGATTATCGGCTAATCTTTTGCAGAAATCACATTGCACTGTTCGTATTATTACAGAAATACTAATGCATCATCTCTGCCCCTTAGTATTATGAGTTTTCGGGTTTTGCTTTGTATTGTACGTGTTTAGTTAGTGAATAGGCTAATAGGTTGAAGACTCTGGTTAATTTCTAGCAACAGTCCCACGGCTGATAATTTGGTACAACACATCCTTGTAATTTCCAAACCACATGCTAGGTTTTTATGAAAGGTTTTTCCAGAAAGTGATAGGATTGCAGAGAGCCGCCACGTCCAGCTACAGAGGAGCAGCCGTGTGGTCCTGTGTGAAAAACAGGGGCTCTTGCTCGAAAAGGAAAAGCTACACTTGGAAAAAGCAAAGTAACTGGCAGTGGTGAAATATTCAGAGCCCAGTAGGTAAAGGTACAAGTAATTGGGTAGCCATGTCGATGTGCATATGGATATAATATCTTGAAATATGCACTTGTTAAAAAAAGAAAAAAAAAAAAAAAGATTGTGTTGGCTTTATGAATTTTAGGAGGAATTTCTAAGGAATTTCTTTTTGCAACATAGAATGGTTTAGCCTTATAGATGGCAGAAAGTTAGGGTCTTTCACTGCACTGTTATAAATTGTTTGCTATAGCCTGCTCCACAGAAATGCACTTTTTGCCAAAACATAGAACTGTTTTTTTCAGTTTTTAAAATATAGCAATATAAAAATATATATTTTCTCAGGATTATTCTGCCAAAGGATTGAATAACCCTTTGGAAAACACACATGAAGAAGAAAGTTTGATTTTATGGGGACAGTGGATCTATAAATTGCAAATGATGCAGCTCATTGAGGTTGGTCACACAGCGCAGTGACTTAAAGCTTCAGGGTTAGGTAGAGAGATAATTTCTTTACCTTGGGCAATGGTAAAATCCTCAGTTCTCATACAATAAGCTTTGTTGATTGACTTTTCCTACAGGTGAATCTCACAGGTTCATTCCGTGCTATTTCTTATGTCTTTAAGAATGTTAGTTTTACTTAACCTTGTTCTTCTTATTCAGCTGTGTGACTGTTACCTCTCATGTTTTATGCACAGTATTGCCTATTATTTGTATCTTAAGCTGTTATTTCTAGGTTACAGTAGAGATCCTTCTCATCCCTATTTTATTAGGAAATCACTGTGCGGCAAGTAACCACAAGATACTGTAAATATGTAAGTGTGCTGCATTTATGAGAGGAGAAGCAAATGGAGATGCATTTTTTTTGCAAAAAGAAACTTAAAACAGGTATAAAGGCTGGGGAAAAAAATGTAAGAACCGTTAAATCCCTTTTTTGGAGAAAAGCAGTTTCTCATGGAAACAAGACTAATCCCACATATAGCAGAGAAAGCTTCTAACACTAAAAGCAAAGTCAATGGAGCAAGGAACTTGTGGCCCCCTCTTCCTTGAGGAGGCATTTGAGAGAGGGCCGGGAGTTGCGCTTGCGGGATGCAGATCTCTGCTGAATTAGAGAACAACTTGTTGGCTCTGCTCAAGGGAAGAGGATAAAAAATGAGTAGGCCTGTTCATATCCTTCAGCCAAGGAGAGGTAATGGAAAGTGTTATAAATAGCAGCGCTGTTCGCAGGCTCGCTTGGGCTACGTTCACAGCATTCAGAACAGCCTGATAAAATTAAAAATACATATTTGTTCACTGGGAAAGGTAGAGCTCAGATAGCGTTTCTAAATATCTCTGGAAGATATTTTTGCACAGCTAGTAGTCATGCAATTGTAGTTCAACCACAGCAGTTGCACTGTTGAGGTAGCCTGGAGGTGAATTAAATTGTAGATAGTTGCATAATGGCTCGCTACAGAAAACCATGAAATATCTCTTTTGTACGTTTGTGATAAGTGAGGACTGTGAAGAGCTTGTTCTGTAGTACCGAGCTGCAATTCTCTCTCAATTACTGTGTTAGAAAAGACCTAGATCTGCTTTTTTTCTCCGTATGTTGTTTTAGAAAGAACTCTATACAATTTATTTTTAATTTTCCATTGTTCTTATGGAAACACTGAATTTAAAGATTTTTCAAGCAGAGCATGGAAACATTTGGCTAGAAACCATCTGCTTCTCAGCAGCAGTGACCAGCTGGGGGAATGGAGAGAGGCGGATGGCAGGGGAAGGGAAGAGAGGAAAAAGCAAAAGGACAAACATGCATAATTTATACAGAAAAAGCCACATTAAAGCATTTGATCAGGAAGTACCAGACCACAGCCTTTTAATTGCTATAGGTTAATTGTGCTCCTGATATTGGCCATCCTTTAATTAAGCCATGTTGACTGCAGAATCTGTAGCTAGTTTCTCCCGGGTGTTAAATGAGGGGCCACAGTAGGTAAGTGTCACTGTCACCCCCTGCTTTCTGCCCAGGCTTCCCTGTGGGAGAGGTACCGGCTGCTTGGGGACCCAAGGGCTAACTCTGCCGCTGAATTCCGGTCATGATTTCCATTTCTGAATTTGGATATGCCCTGGTCAGAGCTAAAAGGGGAAGGGGGAACACACAATGAAACAACAAAACCCAGAAGAGCAGTTGTTGGGAAGGTGGCTCCCTGTTGTCAGCGAGCAGGGCGGATGGCATGGGACGTGCAGTGATGGTATCGGCCACTGTGTTTATAAATACAGCAGTGCTATAAACTCGCTCCCCGCGTTTTCCGTGGCGCTGCGGAGGGAAGCAGGAGGCGGCCACGGATGGCTCTGCAGGGAGCTGCTGCTTGGCGAGGGAGGCCGCGCGGGTGCCATGGCTGCGCGGGTGCCGCGGCCTACGCGGAGCTCGTGCAGCTCTGTGGCGAACGCCCCGTATAAACGGGGCACTGTGAGCTGCCGTGTGTCCCGGGAGTGTCCCGGGAGGCGTGCGGGGTGCGCAGCGCCAAGCAGGTAAGGCTGGTCTGAGCCGGCAGCCAGGGCTGCGTGGTGACGGCCGCGCGGTTGTCAGGATGCCCCGCAGCCCGGTACAGCGTGCACAACACCTCTCCCGTGGGATTTGGCTCTCCCAGTCGCCCGCTGCACCCATTAGATTCATTTCATCTCGCTAACTGTTTGCCAGCCAGTTTCACAGGTTTGCTTGCTTCCTGCGTAATTTCTGCCACGTTTCAGTCATTCCATTTTGTCATTTTTATTTGCTCTCATGACTGCTGTTGTCAGAAGAGGGTCATGCTGAAGTGCTACGAAGTAAGTGACAACCATAAAGCATAGCTTATTCTGTGTCGTACATGCTGCTTTCTTTATGCTCACTCATTGTTACTGCATTTCAATGGTTTCCGTGCTGACTTTGTTACCAAGTGCTATGTGGATTAGCTCGCCTTAATCCAGAAATGGTAGCCATTCTAAAAAAACAGAAATAGCATGCTGAAATGAAAGCCACTTTTATCAGAGAAGTATTCAGCAAATGCTTTTATAAACAGGGGCACTGAGGAAGTGAGCCCGAATTCTGCAGGGCTTCTGGAAGCGGGCACAATGTGCAGTTTTATGTAATCCCGTGAAGTTAAAAGCAAAGGCAAACCAGCCCTCTAGATAATCAGGCCCTGATGTTGTTGTAGCCACTGAATCCCTCCCAGTTTTAGACTCTGAGTTTTTCCTTTTCTGCTTCCAGCCTGCCCTGGTGTTTCCACCTTCCTCTCTCTTTGCTCCAGCTGACACAGTGTTGCAACCAGCACTAACCATTTCTCAATTCCTCATGCTAAAATATCTCCGTTACAAGAAGTGCTGTATCCTGCCAGTCATCATATCAACCCTTGTTTTCGCTCTTCCCCACCCCAAAGCAGACAATTTGCAGTCTGCCTCCCTTACATACTGTAAAATTTTCTTTGACACCCAAAAATGTAATGCAAATCGGTAATAAAGACAAAATTTTGGTTCTGTATATTTCCAGAAATCTATAAAAAACTAATATCGCACCATAGCTCTGTGCATATTTCATTGCACTGTGCTGTGAAATGAAAGTCTTTTCTTTAGTTCTTTTTCCTCTAAGACAGCAGCAGAGCTTTGCCAGAGACAGCACATCTTGGCAAATGACAGGACAGAACAGCTCTCATGAGAAGAGTAAAAGGTTTTGTGAGCTTTACGCAGGAGGCTCATAGGAGCTCTGGCACTTACAGGGAGCCTTCTTTCACTGAGCTGCTTGGGCTATGAAGTTAACAGGAGATTTTGATCCTGCAAATCTAATTTAAAATGTAAACGCTGGAGAGGCCATTGTTGTGACATAGGAATTACATCTGGCAATTTTAATATGAGGCAACATAATAGACATGGTAATCAGTCCTGCCTTACAGCAGTGACTGTTTATAAATTACTAACATATGCTGATTCTAGTAAGACAAATTATATTTAAAATTATTATCATACTCTTTACCTTTTTATACAGTTAAAAGGGAAATTTAGGTTTAGGCAGGCTTAACTTGGATTTAATATGTTGAGTATAACAGGTGATCAAGTAAGGCATGAGAAATGGCTCTTATTAAAATTTTGAAAAGCCCACAGCGTAACAGGAACGCGTCTACTCTCCAGCTGGCAGGTACTTCCTCTTGCTGAACAGGATGCTGATCAACCGTGAAATCCTAGACAGCTCCCGGTGTCAGGGATGGATCTGCACCACAGATTGCATTGTAGAGATCATAAATTATAATTAGGACGGATAGGAGTTACACAAAGGTGTCTATTTTTCCGTAAATTACAGTACAGTAGGCTGTGTAGCAGAGGAGTTGATACGGCAAGTGAAAAAGAGAGAAGGAAGAAACAAGGAAGGGTAAGTTAGCCTTGGGCTTTGGGCTGGAAGGGCGGCAGTGCTGCTGCGGCTTTTGGCAGACGCCCGTGCCCTTGAGGAGGGCCGTGTTCGCCTCGCCAAGGCCTGCGGAGCAGCGCCGGCGCCGGCTGGCACGCGGTGCCGGGGGCTCTGGGCACACCCGAGCAGCACAGCCGTGCAGGTGACACTGGCCCTCGCCGTCCAGCTAGTGGCTTCAAGCCAGGGCTAAGCAGCCCTGCTGCGGCAGGCGGTGGGGACACGTCCGTGCTCCGGCCGTGTCCGTGTTCCCGCGGGCGCAGACACCGGGAGGACTCCCTCAGAGCTGGGTCGCTGCGGGATTGTGGCTGTTACTGATGGCTAAATGCTCTGAGTTTTCTGAAAGGAGGGCACCATAAAAACGCTAATATTTACAATAGCTTGAGTACTGATGTGTCTGTAAACAGAGCTGGTTTTGCAACCTCGTTCATCAACCAAAGCAAGTATTTTTCTTATCCTAATTTCAGAGTTCTATTTTTTTGCAGTGCATGGCCCTGCAAAAACCCCTGGCTTAAAACATGCCAGATGCCCACAGATCTTTCCATGTTGCCTGTCGCCACAGGAAGCTATTGCTGTGATGCAGGCTGAGAGGCAGAGCCAAGTGCAGGGTTGCCTGCATTGCCCTACTCACCTGGAGCCACTGCCTGTGGGCTGGCGAGGTCGGATAAGGCAGCCCGAGGGACGCACAGCACGCAGCCTCCTCTGGGGACGTTGTGTTGGTGATCCGTACAGTTTGTTCAGAGTCACCGGAGTGACTGCGGTTTCCGGGGCAGGGGGGAACAGGTAGTCTGCAAGAGGAGCTGTTCAAGGAAGAAGCACCAAAGTTACCAAGCTGGAGGTGGGCATGAACCCAGGGCTGTCGGTCAAGTACAGAAGTGATCTGCCAGCATCCAGTACAGCAGAGAACTAGTTGTCATCATCCAGGTGATAGTGCCACGGTTGACAGGAATACAAAGCTGTAATTGCTGATACTTGCAATACAGGAAAGGTAAATAAAGGTTCGCTGCAAATAAGGAGATATGGAGAGACCCACATTTATATAGGAATCTTCCTGCCCTTCTTGCAATCATTGAGAGCTCCTTCAAAGCACTTTGCTTTTCTGTGGATTTAAAATGATATCATGCCTTATTAAGGTATGTGAGACTCCTTAGGCTAAGTTAAAGTAGGTAGAAATAACTTGCTCCCCATGGTTAGTAGAATTTAATAGTTCCTTGCCACAGACTTATTTTTAAAAATGTTTAACTCCCCTTCCTGGAAGACAATGGGAGCCATTAAGCTCCAAACAAATCACAGGAAGCTCTCAAAACCTTGCCAAGTGTTTCATTTCTTTATAGAATTACAAGGTCGTAAGTGCTAAAAGTATTGCTCCTACTGCGTTTTAAGTGAAGTGCTGGTATTTCAACCCTCAGAAGGATCCCCCTGTTCCCATTGTAATATATGGAACAATTTGTGAGAAGTCGATAGGGCTGTTTGTGTGAGTAAGTAGCATGTATATTCTCCAGAGAGTTATTCTCGGTGCTCTCCTAATGACAGAGTATTGGAGTTCTTTGAAAGATGCTCAGTGTGGTACGAGCGTGCTCTGAATCTCAGTGCGGCAGTGCCTGGGGTTTGCTGGTGCCTGGACTTGTAGCTTCTCCATTCCTCCACCTGCCATTATATGCCAAAGCCCCAGGCACGGGGCATGGAGCAGGTAGGAGTAGGATCCAGCGTGACCAGCAGCAAACCAAGGACACGCTGAGGGAGGCCTCCGGTTCCGCACCACCAGGGCTTTGGAGAGAAGCTGTAGCTTCAGGAAAGTGGCTATGAGAGAGAGATGGGGGGGGGTTCATTAGCACCGCCTGGGGTTGGCTGCCTGCATTTGTGCTTTTGGCCATGGATGATCATGGGGAGCAGGTTAGGCCAGCTGACGGGCAGTACCCTCTTGTTAATTTACGTTTTAACTATTACTCTGTTCCCTTTAGGCAAGAGAGACGCCAGTGGCTTCATGGCAGCTACAGCACTTCTGGGCATGCACAGTAACAAAAATTTTGTCTCCTAACTTTTGTAGTGAAACTAGCACAGTATAATTTCTGTGTAGATGACACACAAGAGTCCTTTTATAAACCCTGGTCAGGAGGAGTGTTTCATTTTTAAAGCCTGAGCAGGCTTGCTGAACAGAAAAGGAAATAGGAGGAGCTCTGGAGCATATTCTGTGAATGAACAGCCTAAAATGCACAAAGAAGTGCATGCCTAAGTATCCGAAATGCGAGTTAATAACATGCTTCAAATGTTTTCCATAACTGGAGTATTATTAGCTACATTATCTTGCAGCGTGTAGAACGGATAGGCCAAGGCTGAAAGGAAGGCTCCCACCCCTCCATTCAGCGAGAGGGAGATCAGCTCCTGTTGGTGCTTCCCTGGCAACACAGAGGCCCTCCAGGCTTTTTATACCCTGCGGTTCTCACGGAGCTCTGAGCTAACTCACAGTAGCCCAAATGTGCTCTGGAAGGTGTCCTGCTCGTAAGCAAAGGCTTTGTTTTTAACCATGGCTTACCATTGATGGCTGTTTTATGGGAGAGATGTGATGACTTCTGAGCAGTTCTAACCTGATGCTGCTCATATGGTGGGGCGGGGGGAGAAAACAGTGGCAGTGTCACCCCCAAAAGCCCTGTGTGCCACCTCTTGACCAGGAGGACCTGTCAGTGCGGGTGCATGCGGATGTCTCTAACGGCTCTCGTCTGTTTGCGATTGCAGGAGCACAGAAGTCATGAGCACTGTCTCAGGTACCCGAAGTACAACAATCACGTTCACTGTCCGCCCTGGAGCCAGCCAGCCGATCACTCTGCAGAGCAGGTCCCCAGACTATGACAGTAGGACCGCAGGAGCAAGGCATGCTCCCAGCCCTGTGGTTTCGCCTACAGAGATTAATAAAGACATCATGCCTGCTCCTCTCACTGCTTCTGCTTCAGCCTCATCTCCTTCTCCAACTCTGTCTGATGTATTTAGCCTACCCAGCCAGCCCCCCTCTGGGGACTTATTTGGCTTGACCACAGGGCGCAGCAGGTCTCCTTCTCCCTCAATATTACAACAGCCAATCTCAAATAAGCCTTTTACAACTAAGCCTGTCCACCTGTGGACTAAACCAGATGTGGCAGATTGGTTGGAAAGTCTAAACTTAGGTGAACACAAAGAAACATTTATGGACAATGAAATAGATGGCACTCATTTACCAAATCTACAAAAGGAAGATCTGATAGACCTTGGAGTGACTAGAGTTGGGCACAGAATGAACATAGAAAGAGCTTTGAAACAGCTGCTGGACAGATAAGAATAGCTACTTTGCCTCATAAACTTCTGTTGATAACTAGAGATGGGCTGGTACTGAACTACCCCAATTGCCTTGTCTGTCTGCGAGTGCCAGCCAAATTGGGGGCGGGAGGGGGGGATGCCGAATTCCTGGTACTCAGGTAACGCAGACTGTATGCGACATGCCCAAACACAAACAAACATGTCACGTGAGCGGGGCTATTCTATTTCAAACTCGTGGGGAGATATGAGAGAGAGAAAGAGAGAGAGAGAGAGAGAAAATTGTTAACTTCAAACATACTACCATCTATTGATAGTGTCATTCTGCTGGAGCCATTACTTTTTTTTTTTTTTTAATCAAAAGCATTTCACTTTTTTAATTTAAAAGCACTATATTCACTCCTTGACATTCACTCAGTCTCCTAGCAGGTTTTCTTCCCAAACCTTAAATTCATTTTAGGAGGAGAGACACATGCTTCAATGCCTTTTTAAGCCATTTCTGCTAGGGTTAGATGCACAATTTTAAGGCAGGTGCAAAAGCTGACATTAGTGTTTTTAACGAGTTTAGCTAATTTATTAGCAGTGAAGCTGGTTGTTCTGCTGGAATTAGTTCAAAGGTAACCTTGCTCTGTTTTACTTGGTATTTATTTATTTCTGCAGTTACATTTAGTGCTCTTCCAAGGTGGCAGAACAAGTTCAGCACACGCTCCATTGGCTTGACCTGTAAGACGGTGCAGACGGTGCGTACGCACCGAGACGGAGCGCTCCCTTAGAGGTACAACAAAATGAAGCTAGCTTGAACCTGAGACCCCCAGTTTTCAACCAGCTGAACTACTGCTAAGGCGCACCGTGAGCTCGACAAGCCAGAAACGATTTGGGCTTAAGTGCAGGCGCATCTTTTAGACTTCATAGGCAGGGACTCAAACATGCGGAGCCCCAAGAGGGGCCGTTTAATTCAGTGAGTCATGAGTGCTTAGCCATTTTGAACATCAGGTCAAGAGAAAATAAAAAACAAGCTGAATGTTCCCATTGAAGTCAGTGGGAAGGTTGCCAGTGTTTTCAGTGGGAGAGGCGTTTTGGCCTGCTAGTAAAAAAGGGAAACATTTCAGCTTGTTAAAAAAGGAGAAAGGTAGAAGAAGCGGATGCGGAAGCGGAGGGACAGAGAGGCCTGCAGCGTCTGGGAATGCGAGGTGCCGAGGGCCAGGGGAATTGGATGCGTGTCCCGTTTCTCATTTGTGTCGTGTTTCAGCGAGCCCTGGCTCCTGGGCAAGGTGAGCAGGCCGCGTCCGCGCCACGGAGGCGGCAGCTTCACCCCGGCTCCCATGATTTCTTGGCGTGGGCAGCAGGCCCGGCCTGCGCACCGGCCACGCGGCGCTCCGCGGGCGAAACACACACATTTCTCCAATCTGCCTTTTTTTTTATTTTTCTTTTGCTCTCTTTCTTTTTTTTTTTTTTTTTTTTAAGTTAACAAGTCTCTCTCTGCATGTTCGACCTCCCCTTGTAATTAGCACCTCTTAATATCCGTGAGTTTTGTAGGTCTTTGCGAACATGCTCTTCACACGTTGCAGGTGGGCGTTTTTTTTTTTTTTTTTTTAAGTTAACAAGTCTCTCTCTGCATGTTCGACCTCCCCTTGTAATTAGCACCTCTTAATATCCGTGAGTTTTGTAGGTCTTTGCGAACATGCTCTTCACACGTTGCAGGTGGGCGAGTGGTGCGGGATGGCCGGGCTGCCTGCCTGCCTACCTACCATACCTTCAGGTGCCCTCACACTTTGCAAGGCACCTGGACTTTCTTTCCTTGCTATGGTCCTTGATATGGTCCAGCCTATCTCTAATTTTTTTATTGTGATTATTTTTGCTCACAAACAAGTGTCTAATTAGGTCTGCAACAGCCCTAGTCTGAGTACATATAAAGTTTAGCATTTTAAATATCTTTCTTTACTGCAAGTTTAAATAGTTGTACAGATAGTTTATAAGCACAATATTTTAAGAAAATAAGTGGCTGGTCTACTGGGCAGCCTTTGTGCCACTTCAGTGCTAGAAAGTTAAAAACAACAAAAACTTTTGTGGTTTAATACTATTTCTGTGGAATAATTATGAAGTCTTGACCTTTTTAAAAAAATCAACCTCATTTGGATGCATCTGAACCAGCAGAGCTGTGTTATATTTTCTATCTTTGCTAGAACTTCTACAAAGGAGGATGAATATTTCTTCAAAAGTGGTTATAGTTACCAACGCATTGGATATACTCATAAAAAGCAATGTATTTAGCCTCCTGCCCCCTTTATGGAACAACAAATCTTTTGACTTACCATCTGTTACTGCACTCTATTTGTACTTGAAAGTTCCAAGGAACCTTGTAATAAAACCCAAGTACTAAGGCATTCTACTTTCAAGAGTACTGAGTTTTTCCATAGGTGTTGTAGAAAATGGCAGTCTCATTCAGATAGTCAATACAGGCAACTTGAGGCCATCAGATGATACTTCAAGAAGTGTAAAAATGGTATTTTAGCCATCGTTGTCTTCCATTTGGTGATACGACAGAATTCAGTAAATAAACCACTAATGCCATGCTCTCTTTTTTCTTTTCTTTTTTTCTCTTTTTTTTTTTTTTTTTCCCTTTGGTTGGTTGGTTTATTTCTTTGGGTACGGTTGATATTACCTCTATAATATGTGCCAGAAAATACTTTAGAAAATACGATAGTAAAAGAGAATGTAGAAGTTGACTTTTAAGCTGCTTTTTAATCACAACTTTGTTGTTGCGTTTAACGAGTGCTGACATACACAGTAAATTGCAGTCGATGGAAATCCCTTTCTTGAACAGGTGTGTTTCTTGCTCATGTATCTTTTCAGGTACTGAAGAATAGGTACTTATACAATTAGTAGTAAAGAGATTTAAAACGTTAAAGAGCTAATGAAATAGTTTATTTTTACATGATGTCTTAAAAAGTAAATAAAAGGAGACCTGAAAGGACCTACTTTTACGAATAAAATACACCTCTGCCAAGATGAATTGGTCTCTAGCTCCGTTTGATGATTTTGCTACAGAAAGCAATAGTAACAGACACAACCTTGCCTCCGAGTATTTTCATCAGTCTGGAAATGTTGGGAGGGGGAGGAGAGAAGACTTTATTATAATTTCATGCTAGTATGATAGTGAAAAACAAGTTTTTAGAGATCTATGAAATACATTATGATATTCTGGGTTTTAGGATCAATTTTTGTTTATATACTGTAATTTAAATAAATTGCATTTACATGCCTAGTTTCTGTAATATTTGTGTATACAATACCAAAATCTTACAAGATGTAAATTGTGTATAACTGCACAGACTCCTTTCCCTGGGTGTCTGAGAACATTTTAAGTTCGATTCATATATTAAAAAATGACTAGATGTGACTGTTGATTTACAGAATTTACATATCACAAAAGTTAATTATTTGTGGTACTTAAGTTAATAAAAATAGTGATTTTCTTCTTAGTTCTTAAAAAGCATTACCCAGTTGATCTGGCAATGATTATGTGTATGAGCCACAAATATTGATAATTTTTCCATTACATTTTTTCTTTTTTTTTCTAGATATTAATATGTTTCTCGCTATAGTTTGTGTAACAACTTGTGTTCACGTTATCTATGTTGCTGTAATTTTTGTGCTTTAATTCCTCTTATTTCAACTGATTAAAAAATCAAGCTCCTGTAACTTGCACTTTTCCCCAATCCTTAATACTCTTGTATGGCAACCAAAATTACTGTAAGAAATAAATATAATATTGCACTAAGATTGTGGTTCTGATTGCAAACAAAGACGACTGTCTGAATTTTTATTAAAAAAAAAAAAAAAAGTTGCCAAATCAAATGTATGAAAGAGCATAAAATGCTTTAACAAAACATAAACCTAAGGCAAAACAGTCAGTTTATTACCAAGAAAAATACTTGCTTTTAATTCTTTTTTTTTTTTTTTTTTTTTTTTTTTTTTTTTTTTTAAAGTTTTTTTTTTTTTGAACATTAGTTTTTTACTGAATTTTGGATTAATATGTAAAATCTGAAAAGAAAAAGAAAAAAAGCCAACATGTAGAAAATCTATTTCTGTTTGTCCTGAGGTGAATTTCAAATAATCATCACGTTTTCTTGGCTGAGTGTTTGGGAGGGAATGCATGCTCTCAGCTTCCTAGTACTGATTATATAAAGCACCCAATTGTGGATTTATTCTGCAATTCAGTGAGGCACTGAGAAGTTGGTGGGGAGGGAAGGGTTGGGGTTTTGGTAGGAAAGAGCAGCTTTACAGCGAGAAGAAACCAGCACTCCTCCTCAGAACCTGTGCATTTTGTGATTAACACTGTACCGGCAAGGTGTATTTGTACTGTGAATAAAAGAGGCTTAAAACGGAGAGAAAAAGAGAAAAAGGAAACATTTCACATCTTCTTTGGCTTAATCTAAAAATTTTCTATCTTACAATGAAGTGATGAAATGAATAAATTTTTAAAATTATTTTTATTTTTTAAGATACTGGAATAAATGCCTGGAACTGTTGCCATTTGGTTTCATATATTCCTTAACTATTATTCTCTTCCTTAGATGTTTTAGCTCATGTTTTTTGTCATTACCTTTTATTTGTCTTTTTTTTTCCCCCAGTAATAGTTACTTGGCAGCTTTGTTTTAATAGGGCAGATATGACAGAAATGAGTCTTCATTTTTGTTCAGGTGTTTTGGTAAGCCAGTGATTGACACCTGCCTAGCTAAGTCTGTCAGGTCTTTACAGTGCAAAACAAAGGATGCTTTGCCATTGGCAATGCTCTTCTTCAGGCAAATTGGAAGATTTGCTCATTGCTGTCGTAGCTTACGTTGTATTGATACGTCGTGTTGTGTCTTGTTCGTGTTTCTCTGTGTTTTTCTTGCATCTCATGGTCCTTTATTGTTTCTGTACAAAACCATGAAAGTAGAGGGGCTGTCCTGGGACAACCAGAAGAGCTCGACTGTAACAATACTGCAGCACAGGTGGTTAAAAGAAAATGTGCCTTAAAATTTTCAATCTGGATACAACTATACTGTATTGAACACAAAAAGCTTTATCTTCCAGGTATTGTTACAGTACCTGACACAGCGTTTGTAGTGCTGTTTTTTGAAGTGAGTAGTCCGTATCATTTTGCATTAGCAAAAATGGTTACAAACACTCAAATGATTTATGTATTATTTAGAAACACTTTGTGCATTGTGAAACCGATTGGAAATGATTTATTCAAGTTATTTAAGGGAGAAATTAGATGAGACTGTTATTTTTTGTTAATTTACCAACATAAGCATGTACTCAGTTATTGTCAGGTGACGCAGACTGTATTCCAGAGAGAAGATGACAGTGATAAACCAAAATGTTGTATTCATATAATGAACTTGTTTTCTATTGCTGACATCTAGTGGAAGTTGATGGACTTAAGTCACAGAGCAATACAAGATCTTTGAAGATATATCTTTATTTTAAACATTAGGCATTCTTTCTACGAGAGGTCGTTTTAGCAAACTTTTTACTATTGCCAGTTGGCCTGAGTATTTAAGCCAGAAAGCAGGGCTGGCTGTGTAATTATACAAATCAGATAATGAATGAGAGATCTTTAAAGAGCTGTAATGTGTTTTCCAGTTTGTATGTGATTGTGTTTTATTGATTTCACGTTTTAAATGTTGCCATCCCCACGAGCTTTCATCTGCATCAGGCATGCTTGTATGAGAAGGCGGATTTTTGTCTCTACTGCTGCAAATCTTGCCCTGTTTGGAACGATTGCAATCAAACAGTCTGATGAGCAGCAGCTATTTCAGATCGCGACTGCAGATGAGTGCAAGGTGTTTAGCTTAGGAACTAGTTCAGTGTAGCTGGTAGACTATTTCTCAGATTTACATGCAGAACTGAAGCTTGATTTTTGAAGTAAAAGCTAAGTTTTCCTCAGGACTAATGCTAGAAGAAATACATGCACGTGTGTGTGAGCTCTTGTAATCTTCTA